TATTAACTTGATTCATTGCAGTGCTAATTCTCTTGCTATTACCATAAATATTAGCTTTTTCAAAAATGATAGATCTATAGTTTTGTTTTTCACATCATTTTTCAGTGTTTTGGCTGAGATTGAGTGCAGTGTTATTTTTCTTGTATACCAGCACAGCTACTGGGTCTGTACTTATACTTCCCACTTATTACATGGGTTAGTTCCATTTTCATGTGGAGCCTGGTATTTCATATCATGTCACTGGCTCTATAAAACTCTTGGCACAAATTTTCTTTTGAAACCTGCATGAGATTTTCTATTATAGCCACTTTTCTTTTTTTTTTTCCTTTTTAACTCTTTCTGTTTCCTTCTTCCTTTATTTTTTCAATGGTGTTGAACTCTAATAACTGACTGAAACAATCGTAATAATAATCAGTAATGGTGCCTCTTTCTTATTTTCTTGTTATTAGCTCACTCATTCATCTTAATTTTAGTAAGATAATCAGAACATGAGACTCCAGCCCACAGAATACAAGTTAGGGCAATAATGTTTATCTGACTCAGTGAGCTTCACAGCTCCATTTGCTTATCTTCCACTAAATAGTTAAGCTCAATTAAGTACAGTATATTCCTGAGCTGGGCGTGGGGGCGCACTACTGTAAACCCAGCACTTGGGAGGCTGACAGGCAGGTGGATCCTTGCAGATTCGAGACCAGCCTTTCCTCCAATGTGAGCCAAGGACAGCCTGAATCACGTAGTGAGACTCTGTCTCAGAAACACACATATACACAAAAAATTATATTCTTCATAATTTTTATTTTTCTCATATTACTTCTTATATATGTATTCATTGCATAGTATTTAAAATTTGTGCATTAAACCATTTTGAAATCATTTAATGAAATGAGGAAACCATTTAATAAAGGAAATCATTGAAATTATATATATATATATATATATATATATATATGATGTGATATAAAATATGGTAAATATTTAAATTTGAAAAAAATACAATAAAGGACACATTGTCATCAGTTTCCCTTACAGTATTTCCCCTTGCTCTGAACATACTCATCCTACTGTTCTTTCCTCTTTCTGAAGCAGTTCTGGAAGTCCTCTTTCATGAGTATGTTAACTTGCACTGTCGTGGCTTCTTTGATGTCTACTTCACAATGTTTACCTCTCAGGGTCATTTTGACTTTGGGAAGAGCTAGAAGTCACAGTGTGATCTGGGTATGGTGATGCATGCCTGTAATCACTGCACTCAGAAGGCTGAAACACAAGGGTCACCATGAGTTTGAGGCCATGCTACATTACGTAGCTAGCTCTGGTCTCAAAAAAAAAAAGTATAAGTGAAGATAAATCACAATATATACAAGAGGCTGCCTTCTGTTAGATGGTTCTTGGTAGCAGGTTTCACTAATTCTTGGTCACACCTTGTAAAGACAAAGTAATGGAGAATATTATGAGGACAATCTATGGCAATATGTTTTTGTTTTTAATTGGGATAATGTTTTAAAAATATAAACATTCGGCCCATTTGTTAACTACACCTTTTATATACTTGAAACATATTTTCAATTTCAAGATAAATCCAATAGGACTCTGTGTTACTGAACTTTCCATTGCTGTGACAAAATATTTGTGATAAAGTGTTTAAGAGAAGAGAGGTTTATTTTGGCTCATGGTTTCAGAAATTTCTGTCCATGGTCTGCTGACTGCAATGCTTTTAAGGAGATAACGATATAGAAATGCCGTGGTGTAAGGAAGGATTGAAAAAAGGAATCTATTTATTTCATGATTGCCAGGAAGCAGAGAGAGAGAGACAGAAGGAGAGAGAGAGAGAGAGAGAGAGAGAGAGAGAGAGAGAGAGAGGCAGAGAGAGATAGAGAGACAGAGAGACAGAGACAGACAGACAGACAGACAGAGAAAAGATCCAAGAATGAGCTACAGTTCATACTGTCACGCTCTCCTCATCCAACTCCTTGTAACCACGTCACATCACCTGAGATTCCAATGCCTCCTATTAATTCCATCAACTTCTGACCTCATTAAGGGATTAATCCACAGATGAAGTTAGAGTACTCATGGACCCGTCACTTTCTGAAAACCCCACTTTGTACTGTATGACTTTTGGAGGGCATTTTGATCTAAATCATAGCAAATTCCTATTGTTGCTTTATTGAAGTAATTTGGAGCAAGTTGCATTATAATATTCATTTCATTATAATATTTCATTATAATATTCATTTCATTCATAGCTATTTCATTAATTGTTTTGAAACAGACAGTTTACTGGATATGCCATCATTTCTAGTCAGAAGCCTTTTGTACATTTACACATTATCTATGTTAACTTTTTATTTTACTTTACTGTCAGAGATAGAAGTACAAAAATGGTGAAAGGAACACAGACCTTTGACTTACATTTAGTTAACTCCAGTAGATGAGATTGTACTTGCATATCCTGCCATAACTATTAGTTGACATTCTGTTAGTTGGAGAATATGGTGTAAAGCAAATCACCCCAAAACATTGAGGCATATAGCAAAGTGTAATTACTTGTCAAACCTTGGAAGAGGATGAATCAGTTTATTTGAGACATCAAGACATTTGACAACTTCACCAATGTGGCAGCCCCAAGAATTTCTGTAAAGTTTTCATTGCACCCTCTGCACAGCAAATGTTTTCATTAGACAATCAAGATAATCACAATTTTTCCTGCTCAGTATAGCTACTTGACCTGCTGCCATCAATATCATGTGGAATGAGAAGAAGTTCCATGGCTAGTTTATGTGATGTATTTTGTTCAACCTGCTTTGATGGAAGGAGCAGGAGAGTTAACATAGCCTAAGATCAAGCTAAGGACCTGAGGAACTGTTCATTCCAGATGACTGAAAACTGCACCAGAGGACAGGGACAGATTGTGTCTCCACTCTGCTGCTGATCCCTGCCTCTGATCCTGCAAGAGGCTAGCTCATCAGAAACTCAGGTGTGCTCAGCAGTGATCAGCAGGGGAAGACAGAAAACATTGAGAACAGAGACCTATAAATTCTGTTTAAATCAATACAATGTCCATACGATCTGCATTTATCTTTCCTCTTACATTGGAAGTACATTTGCTTTTGGGATCTTATAAGAGACTTCTCTGGGATGCAGGCTGAGCAAATTAGATATGGCAAAGTCAAGATGATGTCCTTATCACGGCTCTTATGTTTCTAATATTGTAGATTCCCAGTGAGGCTACTTGGATGATGCTCAAAGTGACAGTATTACTTAAATCTATAACTTCCTTCCTTCCTTCCTTCCTTCCTCCTTCTTCATAAAAGCTCTATAAAAATATATCCTCTTTTATTTTAGACTACAGTTGTAGTGACTTTCATATGCACATGGTCATGTTCTGCTGATGCATGGCTTCAGCCTCCAGAAGCGAGACTGTGCCCAAACACCAAATCAGGCTCCAAAGCTCCTCATTAAGTGAGCCCTCTAGTCCATGTCAGGGATTCATATGAGGTTCAGTGGCAATAGATCTGGCACAGATTTGACCCTTATCATCATCACCCTGTGACTTGATGATGTCACAAGTTATTACTGTCACCAGGAATAGAGAATTCTTCACACTACACCACAAACCAGAACAAAAACTAGTTCAGCGTGGATGAGCAGGGAGATTTGGTGCTACCATGGTCTTCTGATTTTTGCAAGTGCAAATTGGTCACGGACTTCACAAACACCATGGACAGCCCAGCAGAAGTGAAATTTCAGATCCATGGTTTCATGTATTAGTTGCAACTTCATTTACAGGAATTTTTCTAAATAAAAGAAAAGCTGTTGAGGATAGATCCCTTTGTAACCATCTAAGGATTTCCTACTTTGTCCTTTACAAGTTGGTCAAATTTTGAAGTCTTCCTTGGGGACCTCCAATCAGTCAGTAAGATTCAATAGTCTTAAAAGTAGAATACTGTGAAATTACCAAGCAATTTCCAGGAGTTGAGGGGAAAGAAAAGACCCCTGGACAAGTACTCCTCAACCTTGAAACATTTCCAAGCTTGGCAACCAGCAAGGGTATCCCAGGTCCCCCACTCTTTCCCAAAACTAACTTTTTGTCATTTCTTGTAGTCACATACCTGGACCTTAACTACCCTGTGATCATTATCTTTTCTGAATTCCAGAAGAATTATTAGCTGTTTGTCTTTAATAGTTGCATGATTTATTTATTAAGAAGACGAACCATGAAAATTTCTATAGACACTTGTCTGGTAGTGGGCAGAATAAGATCAAGTTCCTGTATTTGGGATTGGGAGGGGTGATTAAGTGAAGAAATTAGGGCCCCAATCCAAAAGGTTGCTGTTACAAAGCTTTCATTAAATGGCAAAGAAACCCTATAATACACAAAGCGAGAGTCCTCATCCTAGAGAATGAATGAATGTTTGACTGTTGAAGTGAAAATTTCCCATTAAAGGAGGGAGCTCTCTGTCCAGCTCTCTAAGCTTATGTGGCTGGATCCTCAAGGGGCAATGGGTCATGTCTCCCCCATCTGCCAGTTCCTCAGGATTTCCTGCTTTACTTTGTGATGTGAAGTGCACTTGGCTATGATGCCCCTTCCAGGAGGATTCTTAGAGTATGACCTTGGTGAGCAATGAGACAGGAGGGGTGAGAGAGGCAGGTACACAGCTCTGAATGTGGGTGGCCATAAGTCAAACAGGAATGAAGAATCCTTGTGCATTTAGAGAGGGAGGGGACAGAACTTTTTAATCCCAGCTCTGTTCAAAGGTGCAAAGGGTGTTGTGATCCAACAATAGAACATGGTTCACTCTAGTCATGGGAGAACAGCTGGATTCTGCTCTGTGGCCCAAGGGAGAAACACATTCTCAGGGAAATTGGTGCCATCCTGGCCTGGAAGTAACCCCAGATAACCATGGACCACTGATGAGACGACACAGCCTAGCAGCTGTGTGCAACCCTGCTCAGCCCCTGCTGATTTGCATGCACACAGAGCACAGCACATGCCCAAAAGTATTTCTTCCCAAAGTTCTCATACCATGTGCAGGAGTCAGTCCTGGTCCAGACACAGCATGGACATGAGGAGCTCCACTCAGCTCCTGGGCCTCCTGCTGCTCTGGCTCCAAGGTGAGAAAAATTTTATTTTGTAATTTAGTCTAGTTAGAGTTCCCTGGTCACAGTTGCCTGGTTCTACAGGGAGGTGTTGTTTTACCATGGTTGTGTTGATACTTGTTTCTGATTTCCAGGTGTCAGATGTGACATCCAGATGACTCAGACTGCATCCTCCTTGCCTGCATCTGTGGGAGACACAGTCAACATCAAGTGTAAGGCAAGTCAGGGTATAATCAATGCTTTAAACTGGTACCAACAGAAACCAGGGAAATATCCTCAACTGCTGATCTATGATGCAACCAGTTTGGGATCTGGGGTCCCTTTGAGTTTCAGTGGCAGTGTATTTGGGACAGATTTCACTCTTGCCATCAGTAGCCTACAGCCTGAAGATGTTGCTACCTATTACTGTCAACATGTTTATGGTACCCCTCCCACAGTGATACAAGCCATGACACACCAGCCAGGGAAGCAGAAGTGTGAGGTTGGGCTGCCCCAGCTCAGCTCCACTGCATCTGTACTCAACTGCTGAGAGCATTTCTCTGAACAAGCCAGGCTTGAATGCTCCTTTGAAGCTTTAGAAGAAGAACCAAGCCTGTCGTCTACACCCTTACTCTCTTTCCTTGTTTTAGCTACTAAAGCACAGATAGTCCAGCTCCTGTCCTAATTAAGTGAAGGCCACAGATGAGCACCTCTGAGCAGTGTGGATTATGGCATAATTTTGGATTCAGACAGCAACATAGAAGCCCTTCTGTGTTCTAAGCAAGGATTTTTAAAGATCTCCTTCAATTTTTAGTGTAGATTTGTTCATGGAAAAGTTTAAAATACAGAGGTGGCCCTGATTACCCAGTACACATGGCTCTGCAGTCTATCATCAACAACCAAGGACAATTTTGTTACAAACCATTAAGATCCATAAGTGTGCAAAGTCTGTACTTTGCATGAAGGTTCACTATTGCTGCTATACATTTCACAAGAGGAAACAAATGTGCAATAACACACACGCAGCGTTTGCTACTGTGCAATTTTGTTTCATTGCCATAAAATTCTCCACCCTAAAAATTATCCCTGTTCATTCTCCTCCAATTCCTGCCAGTAATTTGTATTTTACCATCCCATTTCCAAAATGACAAAATCTTGCCTTTATAACTTAGAAGTTTTTGAAAGACAATCTCAGAATATGCTGTACTAAGAAATACAATAATTAAAAATATTGAGTAACACCTCTTTGTACTTACAAGGTTCTCTTTATCCCTTCTGTGTCCTCTGTTCAAGACCTGGAGGCCTTGCTGTGCAACCCTTGCTGGTGCTCTGCTTCTTCTACGAAGTCCCTTCCTGTCACAATCTCTCAGCGGGATGTGGTTACTGTCTCTGGACAAAGATCAACCTGAATCAGGTGCAGCAGTGAGCTGCAGACCTGGAGCTGTGGCCCTCTGAGTCCTGGTGCTCTGGGTCCAGGTGAGACAGCAGGGTTTGGAGAGGCCTCCATGACAGGACCTATAGCACCCAGGAGTCTGAGGCTGAGACTGTGTTCACTGTGCCCCACGTGCACTGTCCACTTGATCAGCCAGCATCACTCTTGCTGGGAAGACTCCGTTGTTGGGATATCATTCACTGAGGGGCTCACATGTGTCTTGTTCTGGCCTTTAAACTCCCGTGAGAGCATTGCAGGCTCTAGGGCCCAGCTTCCCTTTAAGTGTCTCTTAAGAGAAATGGTCTCCACCACTTTCCTTGCAGCAGCAGAATCCAGGCAAGTTTCCAAAGACTCAGCAATGTGCTGTGTATGCCTTGGCTTGAATCTGTCTATAATTGTGATTCAAACACAGGATAAATGCTCCAAGTACTTTATAGATAATACTTAGTTAAAATTAGAAGCATAATTCCACAATTAAACCAGACATAGATCCAGGGCTGAATAGAAATATGTTGCTCGTGGCTAGACTATTGATCAATAGGGGTGGATACACTTAAATAATTTTAGAAAATTATTTTGATATTCACTGTTCACATCTCCTTTGTCACTCATATTGTTATATACAGAGACATAACTTCCCTAACCTGCATCCCGTAAGCCTGATGACATCATTCTTTCCTCGGCTCTGTAGTTTTTGCTTCAATTTCCCTTTCTACTGAATTAATTTTTATTTCACGATGAGTCCTGCCAAAATAAATCTCAGGACCCAATCCTTTTCTGTAAGAGTGCTATGGTTTTCTAACTCCATTCTTTCTTTGAATATAACTGAGGTTCGTGTGGGGTGAGGATTATCTGATGACCTTTATTCAAATCCATAATTGGGCAGTTGGCTGACTGGGACCAGGAGAAAGTGAGGAGGAAAAGAGGAAGCAGAAGGGAGGAAAATAACATTATGCCAGTTGTGAGTGTTCTTGGATTGAGGAGGAAGGAGGAGATTACCTTTTTCACCTTAGCAGTGTTAGCTACTGTGTCAAATGTAAATTTGCGAGGTTTTTCCTGAGCTGTAACACAGTGAAACAATGTATTTGTGTTTATTACCTTAGGGAATAATCTGAGAATACCTAATACATATGGAAATATTGCACAGTTAGTTCATTTTGTTCACAGTCTTTTAGGGGAACTATATGTTACCTCAGGTATGAAGCTGTACTTGAAGGAATAAAACACGTAAGACTTAAAAATTTAAGAAAAAATTAAAAAATACCTGTCACTATAGATAGTTGAATGTAATTATAAATGAACCAAATTATACAGGTGTTAATTGCTAATTATCCAAAGGATAGAAACTCATGATATAAAAATTCTAAGAAGTAAAGTTACACCTGAATAAAATTAAGGTTTTTTTTTATTTTCTATCTTGAAATTAACCTTCAGTGTGTGGAGCAAAGTGTTTGCTATTCTGAATGGCTGCTTTCTTGTGAGCTCTCAGAAGATGATGTGATAATACATCTGTCTGAATAAATCTAGCGAGTCACCTCTCTAGTACTCTAACTGTATTATAAAAGTAGTTTACAATGCCATCCCTTAGAGATGGGTGGGAAGAGGTTACCTGACAACATTTCTCTGTTCAACCCCTAATCCCAGCATTGTCTGTGAATTACAGGTTAATGGTGATTATAAAGAAGATACAGGAGAAGAGAGGGAAATAGGATGCTAACAAAGAGTTTTCCTGCAGTGAGGAAATGAGGAAGTGTGAGGTTACTTTGTTTTCTCTGCATTAACTACTCTATTAAATACTGATTTCAGCAATTAACTCAGGAGGTGTTTCCTGATCTATGACTCAGAAATTTTCTTCCTTACACCAATGTATTTATAATCATGCTTATTACTTTAGAGGTCCTCAGAATAACCAATAAATATTAAACAAATGTACTTCTAGTTTATATAGTGTTTGAAGGTAAATATTCATTACCTCAGTGACAAAGATCTAACTAAATGCAACAAAGTAAATAGTAACTGGCTATGTAAAATTGGAAATACTTGTAGCATTACACATAAAAGTATAATTGCCACTGAAACATAAAATATCCTGGTGAACAAACTAAATGGTATCAATCTATGTATCTGATTAAACAAACTATATAGCCTTAATGAACCAACATTTAAAAATGTCAAACATAAGGGACAAACCAGAATACAATATCACCATATTTATTTTGAACACAAATGTCTGTATCAATGTATTTGCTATTGTGAAAATTGTCTATTGTGACCTTTATATATTATCACCTCTTGTTTAGTTTGGACAACATAGATGCTCTTAGAAGATTTCTGGAATGAGTGAATATTCGTGATATTGGGAACACCACCTGCAGTAGCAGAGTCATCAATGTACCATCAATGAAGCTCAAATAAATCTAGAACTGCTGTGTCCATATTATGTTACTAGCATTTAAGTTCATTGCTTTCAATGAAAAGTGAGAGCAATGGTTTCCTGAGAGATGTAACACTGTGTGATACATTAATCCAGAGATGCTGGAGGCCCTTAAAGGAAGTAAGTGTTGGTGGAAGCAGAAATATGCCTGGGCTCCAGTGCTAGCTGTGATCCCTTCCTCATGCCCTGTGTAGAGACTGGGAAGAGAGAGCTAGAGAGTGGCTTGCGGGAACCCAGCACTGAGACCTTCTCACATCTCAGCTGCCACAGTTGCAGCCAGTCACCAACCACTGAGAGTGTGAGCTAGGGAGCTGCTGGGTTCCCAGAGGCTGCTCTGGCAGGGGTTCTGGGACAGGAAGGATGGGCTGGCCTTACAGATCTATAGTGTGATTCTTCACAAACATTTCCTGCAGGGTCTTCAGGGGCTCATGGGCATTGCCAAAACTAAATCTTTGTCCGATCATGAGGGTTACACATGTCATGTTCACAGTCTTATTACCATTATCACTTTAGATTTCTAGGTGAACTGTTAGTCTTTTGTCCTCAGTAGTAGGATGATTTATTAAGAGGAATCATTTAAATTTCTATATCATCTTATCTCATACGTAATAGAATACAATCAGCTTCAGAAATACAATTGAAAAGATTCAGTCAAGGCCTGAGAGTATCAAAATGTACAGGTTGCTGTGTTAAAGATCTTCCAGTAGATGGCGAACAACCGCACATTAAACAAAGAGTGATGCTTTCCTGTGAGGGAGCCACTAAGGCAGGGAGCTCTCTGCCCAGCTCTCTAAGCTCACATGGCTGGGGCTGTTGTGCACAACGGGCTGTGTCTTCCCCATGTGCCAGTTCATTACTATTTCGTGTTTCAATCTGTGACTGGTATTCACCTGACTATAGTGAACTACCCAGGAGGCCTCGTGGTCAGCAATGAAACAGGATGGGTGAGAAAGCTAGGGCCACAACTCTGAGTGTGGCCAGCCATGAGTGAAACAAGAGTGAAGTGGCCTGGTGTATTCTGAGGTGGAGGTGACAGAGGCTGTAGATCTCGATTGCAGTCAGAGATGCAGGGGAGAAACACTGGAGGAGTCCCTACGAGGAGGGCAAGGTGTGGGGAGAGGGGTTGTTACTACAGACCTTTTCCCTGCTGTTTTCCAGAACCTTTGGCTCAGAAATATTCTGATCCCCAGATATCTGTTTACCACTTTATATGTCTTGATGCTCACATTGTTTCTTAGATGATTCTCACTTATCCTGCAATGAACATCGAACGCAAGAATCTGGCTGGGACTTAGAACTGCGCTTGGTTGAAGACAAGCTGAAACATGCTTCTGTGAGTGCTATGGAAGCCTGGGGCTGGACAGCAGCATTGGTCAGGTCCTTCCCTGCCCTCTTAGTCATTGTGTTATGGTGAATAGACAGACCCAGAGAATTTCACAGAGTTCAGAGATTCTGCTCTGTTCTTGTCTTGCATTCTCATTTTTTACTTTGTTTGAAGTAGCCCATGTGTTTCTCTTCATTCTTCTTTCTCAAAGGGATCATAACATAGAACCCTGGTCCTCAAGCAAGGCGTGTTCTGTTACGTGAGAGCAGCAGTGCACTCTACTCATGGGAGAGCAGCCTGATTCTGTCCTGTGGCCCAAGGGAGAAACAGGTGCTCTGTAGGCACATCTGTGCTGCCCTGTTGTGGACAGGGTCCCAGGGGACACTGAGCCTGTGCTGAGATGAGCCAACCCGCACCTGGGCCAAACCCCTTCCAACCCTGCTAATTTGCATGTCCCAAGATCCCAGCCAGCTACTTGTGGACTTATTCACAGGCTTCTGGTCTCATCCTGTGCAGCTTCAGTCCCAGTCAGGACACAGCATGGACATGAGGGTCCCCACTCACTTTCTGGGCCTCTTGGTGCTCTGGATATCAGGTAAGAAAGGGCAGCACCAGGAATTTACTTAGTTCTGAAGGTTCATAGTTGCCTGGCATTGCAGTGTGGGCCTGATTTATCTTGAATACCTATGTTGATATTTGTTAAGTTTCCCATTTCAGGTGCCAGATGTGATATCCAGTTGACACAGCCTGCATCTGCATCTGCATCTGTGGGAGACACAGTCAAGATCAGTTGTCAGGCCAGTCAGAGTGTTAGCAGTTACTTAAGCTGGTATCAGCAGAAACCAGGGCAAGCTCCTAAACTCCTGATCTACTATGCAAACAGATTGGCATCTGGAGTCCCATCGAGGTTCAGTGGCAGTGGTTCTGGGACAGATTTCACTCTCACCATCAGCAGCCTGCAGCCTGAAGATTTTGCAACTTACTACTGTCTACAGTATGATAGTTCCCCTCCCACAGTGATACAAGCCATGACATAAACCTCCCAGGGAAGCAGAAGTGTGGGGCAGTGCTGCTTCTGTTGTTCCTCTTTGTGTCTCCAGCTGCAGACCAAGTTCTCAAATGCATCTGGACTTTGAAGGTCCCTGGAAGGATTTGGTAGAAGTATCCAAGGAAGCTCCTCCCTCCGCTAACTCCTTTTCTGTTTCTCACCCCTGATTTAATGAAAGACCCTGATTTAATGAAGTAATGTGGAGTATGCCATCATTTTCTATTCACTTGGCATCAGTGAAGCTCTTCTTTGGGTTCCAAGCAATAACTTTTAAAATCTTTTATCACTGTTATACATTTATTAATTAATTTTGTTTTTTATTTTAAAGAGACTAAAACCAAAGTACAACAAAATAATTTTAAGCAAAACAATACAGTTAAATCCATATTGCACTACAAAACAAGGTAATAGAAATCAACAGAGGCTAACATATATACATATGTATAGCTATGTTCAAAGTAACTTCCCATAGCATCAGACGTAATGAAGTAAATAAAACAAAATGGAATAAAATCAAACAAAGTAAAACATTATAAACAGTATAGAACAATGAAATAAGATTTTAGGATATTAATAATGGCTGCAGATATGCCTCTTCAGGTCCTCCATTTAGAGACGTGTATTCACAACGAAGGTTAAAGTGCAGAGGTGTATTTCATGCCTCTGTCCCTACATCTGCAAAGTAGATTATCACCATAAATTCAACTGTGTTGCAACTCATCATGATAAGTTCAAACTCAAATTTCCCAGTCCACAATAATTTTGACTCTTGACAGTAAATATTTCAGCACATGACACAGATGTAATGCCACATGTCCAAAATGTTTTATGACGTAGTGTTGTCATAATACCACTGTCTTGTACCTATGCAGCTTCTTTTTCCTCCGTTTTCTGTAAGTGAACCATGTCTCCCCATGTCTATAGCATTCCCTTTCCTAGAAAGATAATATCCTGGTGTTTACATTATGGAAGATTTTCAAAAACCAATGTCAAAATATACTGCTATGTAACACAGAAATAAAAATAATCAATAATACATTTTGTTACTACCAAGACTCCCTTTATAGCTTCTATGATTATCACAAATATCTTGCATAGCAAGTGTGTTAGATCCTGTACTGTGCAATACTGAGGTGCTTTCATAGTACTGAGTGTGTCTCAGAGGTCACCACATGGATACTGATTGTTTGGACTTATGTTAAGAGTCTATTGTAATTTTAAAATAAGCAGTGGGGGTTCTAAACTCTTTTTTCTTTAAGTTATTTTATTGATATAATTTTGTTATAAATCTGGTGCTCATACAACCAATTGCATTTACAGGTGGACCCTGAGACTCTCACTGTTCTTTTTACATCATTCAGCGCCTTTCACTGTTTCACTGAACCCAGCTGTGTCTTTCTCCACCAGTCAAGGAGTTCCCACTTGCTCGTGTTGATCTTTTTCTTAGAAATGAAGAAAGAAAGCAGTGGCTTCAATTTTTCCCAAAGATAAGTATCTTCTGTTCTTATTTCCACATCTTCATATGTGACTTTTAGGTTGTGGCACTGAATACCTTCCATCAAAACAGCCTTTCAGCCCCGGGGGAAAAATAGACTTCATTCTTAGGTAAATATTATGGTGTGGCCTGGTTATCATAGGGCCACTAGAATGTTTTCTAGTTTTCCAATCAAGATGGCAACAGCAGAGAAGGTTGCAGCCATTGTAGGAACACAGTCTTCAAGTAACATACTGTTATGGATTAAGAATTGGTGGTCAACTTCATGCCAGCTGGATTATATCAACATGGCGCTGAGCATAGATGTTCCACCTGAGAAAATTTGCCAGCATAGAGCCGTGGAGAACGAGAAGCTATTGGGTTGAGGCATTGATGCATTGTGGGTTCACCTATGAGTTTCTGTTTGAGCCATTGGTTCTCCTCTAGAAGGTCTGGTCTTCACATTGAGCATTGCTTCCTGGCCTGGGGAGGAAGATGTGTGCCCTTTGGTCTCCAGGATGAACTGGTCATGCTGGCTTTCCAGCACATACTCGACTGTGCTTGTTGTCCAAGGAGCCTGAGGCCTCTCTTTGGCTGGGGATGGTTGTGGTACTTTTTAGGACAGACCCGGTCTTTGTTGTTAGTGTGACTTCTCAGCTCCATCATAGAACCCTCAACCCACCAGCACAGCTGGTATAGATTTCCTGGCTTCCATCGCTGACCTTTGGGCCTTCCCAGCACAGATCTGTAAAAGAGACTGTCATGAGACCTTGTGGGCTTTAGACCTCCAGTGGGACTCATGGGAGGCATTGTCATGAGCTCTGGGTCTTCATCGGGACTCATGTGGGACATGGCTGTGGGATTCAGGCCCTTGGCTAATATTCTATGTCTTTAGTGTTGTGGATAGTTTTTCTGCATTTTCTTGTGTTAACTCTGGGTGACCATTATAAAAAATAATATTATATACTCCATATCTTGATTCTAATGGTTCTCTGAACAACCCCTGACTATAACACATACTGATTTTTTTCCCAGAAAAACCTCACATTTAGCAGTAGCGAGCATTCTCTCTGTGTAACACATTCCCTCCTTCTTGAATCCATTGGCAAGATGTTTTCAGGTATTCCCACTCTCCAATGTTTTCTTTACTAATTTTTGCCTTTTCGATAGGCTGTATTAATTAAGATTATCTCTCAGGCTTCTAAAACATTCCAAGCGTAGAGAATGGTAATTAATAAATGCTTTCATGACCTCTACCTCATCTAGTTACTATTGGGTATAAACTAACCAAAATTTTTAAAAAGTTACTAATACGATCATCTGATATGCACCTCAATTCCTGCTGGAAATGATTACCTTATAACTTCCTAGGATAATAGTTTGGCAGAGTCTTATAAACCTGTTTTCATAGTGTCACATCCAACAGCTGAAATTTCAAACATTTGAATAACATACGTGGAAAGACCTGTTCTCTCACATTTTGCCTAAAACCATCCAAACTAGACTCATTCATAATAGCCTGACAGGAAACTTACCTCAGTCTCCATAAAGCAATACGTTATGACATCTCCATCCATTACATAGTACTCAGAAAAGCAGAGGATCCCATTATTTGTACATGAATAGCATGACTTGAACTAACAAGCAACTGTGTTGTGTAAAATAGGAAAGGAGTAGGGAATAGAAGATAGATGATATATTTGTGTACAAAATTCTAGAAAAGGACAAATCTAATATGTAGTGACAACAGATAGGCTTGAGTTTACAAAGTCCATGGGGTGAGGAGGAAATTGGTCAAAAAGAACAGCAGGAAAATGTGCTGCATATTTAGAATAATTTGTTATTCCAGTGGAATTTTCTCAATGTCATTTTTATGGGGATTTCATCGAATCTGTAATCCACTTTAGATGCTTTGAACATTTTAGCAGCATTAATTCCTCCAACCCAGGAACAGGGGGGTAACTTTCCATTTATTTGTGATTCTGTGATTTCTTTCACCACTTTCAGTGAAGTTTAATTTATTCATATTTCTGTCCAGTGATTGTGTGAGTGAGGGTTTGTGTCCTGTTATGTGTTTACCTTCTTTTACCGCCTACAGTCACACTCTTGCTCTTTCTCCTGAAGCTCCCCTACTCACACCTGTTGACCATGGGTCCTATTAATTCATATTTTTATTCTTATGCCATGTGGTTCAATATTTTCCCAATATGTACTTAATTTCATTTTCCTTTCCAATTGCTCCTCACCATGTATTGAAAAACACACACATAAACTATACTTTACTATGATTGGAGAAATGACTACCTGTGGGTGTTTTCTCTAGACTCTTCTTTTTTGCATGTTCAGTTTATTTTTGTTCCTACAGTGCACACATTGTCTCACTGAAATTCCTTGATAATCTTCACCCTTGTTGGCAAAGCTGGGAATCAGACTGAGGCGCTTATGCATACCAGGCAAATTCTCTATTGTTGAGCTTTATCTTCACTCCCTATACAATCTTAGAATAGAATTTTATGCATATTCTAGTTCTGTTCCTCAAAATTTTTGTTGCTGTTGCAGGAACTTTGTGATTTTTTAAGTATTATATAAACTACCCATTCATTAAGTACATCATTGGTAGATTGATTGGATTTCATTACATGAAATATATTTTTCTGTATATATATCTTTCGAAAAAATGAAACTTTAGTTATATCAAGTTTCTGACAAGAGGAACATAGAAAAATTCTCTATTTACCTAACTGTTTTTTTTTTAAATTTATAAGACACAATGGCTGAATTGACAGTGAATCTAGAGATTTTATGAAGTTATTATTTTGGTTAATTTTGTTGCAGAATTTAGTAATGTATGCAAAACATTTTGTGGAAAGTATGTGGAAAGGACAATAACCTTTTTGGCTTTTAACTTGTGCATTTTATTAGTTTGTCTTATTAGATTTTGGAGGAGTTTCAGCATACTTTTAAAAAATTAGACATGCTTTTTCATTTATTCTGAAGGATAAAGCACTCACTATTTTATTGGTGAAAATAATGTTTGTAGACCCTTTATTAGGAGTGTAAACCCAGTTTTCGAAAGCTGTTAAGGTTAAAGTGTCGGGGTTCAGGTTGACTGAAGCATTGCAATAGAACGAGGTGTAGGATCACCCAGGGAATTGTACTTTGCCTGCAAAGAAAGTTCCCTTTCTGATTTCAGTGCAATGGTATTGAGGGGCTGAAGAAAGAGAAACTCAGTGCTGCTCATCTGTGAATTTGGAGGCCTCTGGGCACAAAGAGCCGTGTCCTCCCCATCTACCGGTTCCTCGTATTTCCCATTTTCCTCTGTGATTAGTAATGCTCCTATCATCCCTCTCTCAGGAGGATTCTTAGAGTCCGAATTGTGGGTAAGCAATGCGAAAGGGTGGGCAAGAGAGCAAGGTGCCCAGCTCTGACTGTGGGCAGCCGTGAGTGAAACAGGGATGAAGTGACCTGGGGAATGAGAGACAGGGGGACAGAACTTACAGACCCCATCTCTATTCAGAAATGCGAGGTGC